CCCCCCCAGTCAATACTTTGTAGAACAACCTTTCGCTGCAATTACAATTGAAAATCTTTTTGGGGATGGCTCTACCAACTCTGCACATCTATAGAGTGACATTTGTGCCCATTCTTCTTTGCAAAATAGCTCATACTTTCTCAGATTGGATGGAGAGTGTGAACAGTAACTTTCAAGTTTTGCCACAGATTCTCAATTGGATTTAGGTCTGGACTTTGACTGGGCCATTCTAAAACATGACTATGCTTTGATCTAAACCATTCAATTGTAGCTTTGGCTGTATGTTTAGGGTCGTTGTCCTCCTGGAAGGTGAACCTCCGCCTCAGTCTCAAGATTCTAACAGGTTTTCTTCTAAGATTGTCTTGTATTTGGCTCCATCCATCTTTCCACAAACTCTGACCAGCTTCTCTGTCTCTTCTGAAGAAAGGCATCCCTACATCATGCTGCTGCCACCTCCATGTTTCACTGTAGGGATGGTGTGTTCAGAGTGATGTGCAGTTTTTTCCACCACACATAGTGTTTTGCTTTTAGGCCAAAAAGTTACATTTTGGTCTCATCTAACCAGAGCACCTTCTTTCACATGTTTGCTGTTCCCCCCACATGGCTTCTCGAAAACTGGACTTCTTATGGCTTTCTTTCAACAATGGCTTTCTTCTTGCCGTTCTTCCATAAAGGCCAGATTTGTGGAGTGCATGACTAATAGTTGTCCTGTGGACAGATTCTCCCACCTGAGTTGTGGATCTCTGCAGCTCCACCAGAGTTACCATGGGCCTCCTGGCTACTTCTCTGATTAATGCTCTCCTTGCCTGGCCTGTCAGTTTAGGTGGATGGTCATGTCTTGGTAGGTTTGCAGTTGTGCCATACTCTTTCCTTTTTCAAATGATGGATTGAAACAGTGCTCTGTGAGATGTTCAAAGCTTGGGATCTTTTTTTTTTATAACATAACCCTACTTTAAACTTCTCCAAAAACCTTATCCCTGACCTGTCTGGTGTGTTTCTTGGCCTTCTTGATGCTGTTTGTTCACTAATGTTCTCTAACATACCTCTGAGGGCTTCACAGAACAGCTGTATTCATATTGAGATAAAATTACACACAGGTGGACTCTAATTACTAATTAGGTGACTTCTGAAGGCAATTGGTTCCTGGGTTCTGAAAAACAAGGGCATATTGGATTCAGTAATCCCAACCATACTCATATTTCATAAATCTTCATCTCACGTGGTAGATTTTTTTCACATGTGTGAATCTTTGGAATCTTTCCCATGTGCCTTCTCAGTCGATTGTGTTCATCCTTCAATTGGAAATTAGAGGAAACCTTGTCCCTAGTATCTTCTGGGGTCTGCACCCTGTCAGTTTATTTTTCTTGAGCCATCTCTTCAGTTAATATGATTTCTAATTATCAACATTATTCTGTGGGGACTTCATTTGAATTTGCAAAAAGACAAGGTTTTCTTGAGACCAATGACCTCCTTTTTGCACAAAGTGGTCTCTGCTTTTCACCATACAGAGGATCTTGTGTTACCTTCCCTGTGTCATACACAGGTTCATTCCAAGGAAATCTCTTTCTAAAATCTGGATGAGGTGAGGGCCGTCTGGTTTTAACTTTCGACCAGTATGTACTTTAGATGAATGGATTCCCTGTTTGTTAATCCAAATGTCCTAATATAGGTTTTATGGCTACCTGATCCACTCTTTTTAAGTGGATTTGACAGGTTTTTGTGTTGGCCTATGAGTTACGGGCGATGAGTGCCTCTTGGGTATGTCATCATCAGGCCTCTGTGTCTCAAAACTGTAAGTCTGTGATTTTTCTGTATCCACAGATGCTATCGGTCAAAAGATTTGGTGAGTGGCTATTAATGCCCTTGGTTTCCTTTTTTGATCCTTTCTTGTTGGGTTGGTCACCTATGTTCTTGGGTGTGCCTGCCCCTCAGTTTGCACTGCTTTTGGATGTCCTTAGGTTTCTAATATCAAACTGTGTCCCTCAATGGACGTTACAGAAAATAAACATTTTGTAGTCTGAAATCCTTTACTCGAAAGGAAGGCCTCCCATTTTCTATATGCCTAGGGTCCACTTTTCTTGCATGTAACAGTATAAACCTAGGTTTCCTACTTTCAAGTCCCTCAATATACTTCAAGAATAGATTATATGGTGAGTACAAATATCTAAAGCCAAAATCTCAAAACCATAGAGTCACCAAAATAGGTGTTTCAGTTGAAGAATTCCCCTTACCATGAGAAACAAAACATGTAGGATTTCCTTGCACTTTGTGACTAGGGTTTCTAGGACATAAATGAGTGTGACTCTCTCCAGTGGGGCCACAGACAGCAATTAAAATCTGACAGGTGGTTTAACTCTTTCATATCCTATCCCACACTAAAACATTTTTGGCTTAAGATACACTTTAAGTTAGGGCAACAGTGCTATTGAACCTGTAATGTGTTTAATACTAGGGCCTGTCCACAAATATATAACTAAGATTGTCTGTGTCAATTACCTGGGTCATGCGTCCAGGACCGATCATCAACAGGTAACACTGGACAACAAAGATTTTGTTTCCTGAACACTTTTGGGTGTATCTTATAGATTATTATTATTATATTTATTGTTACAGTTACCAATATAGCGCCATCAATTTACGCAGGCCTTTTACATATATTGTACATTCACATCAGTCCCTAACCCTCAAGAAGTGTACAATCTAAGGTCTCTAAGTCACATTCCTACATACACAAGCTAGGGCCAATTTAGACAGGAGCCAATTAGCCTACTAGCATGTCTTTGGAATGTGGGAGGAAATCAGAGCAACCGGAGGAAACCCGCACAGGGAGAACATGCAAACTCCTGGCAGGTAGTGTCTTGGTTGGGATTCGATCCAATGTCCCTAGTGCTCCTAGGTGGATGCGCTAACCATTTATAACTGTGCTGATTTTTGGCTGCTAATCATGCAAATAACCTGTAATTTAGCCAATCACATTCCATTTTATGGAAATTTTCTGTTTTTGCAATTTCTTCTTCTATACTATATTTTAGGTTTACCAAGTTTTGCTTGCAATATAAGATGTTTTATGTAGCTCCTGCATGGCCAGGTATACACCCAAGGAATAAACCTTGTGGAACCGGTACAGTTTGGTCATTCCTAGGTATGCTTAGGCTGGATGGGTGCTGCTTGCAAAGGCTATAAAAACAAATCCCACGCACAGATGCTACTCATTTTGTTGATATCAGTTTCAGTGTATTTTGATATGCTTGTTTCTTATCAAAATGTTTTCACAGCATTGCCTATGTACAGTATATACTGTACATACATACACACTATATTGCAAAAAGTACTGGGACACCTTCCATTGCATGCACATGAATTTTATTGGCATCTCAGTCTTAGACTGTAGGGTTCATTATTGAGGTGGCCCACCCTTTGCAGCTATAACATCTTCAACTCTTCTGGGAAGGTTGTCCACAAGATTTAGGAGTGTTATCTGTATGAAAGACACCTGGTAGCCAGAAATCCTGCTGAATGATAGGGGATCAAATACTTATTTCCCTCATGAACATGCAAATCAGTGCATAATTTGTTAGACATGCATTTCTTTTGAACTTTTTGTTGCTATTCTGTCTCTCAGTGTTACAATACACCTACCATTCGACTCAAAAAGAGCTAGGAGAGACTTTTTGTGAACCATAAAAAGAGAAGCAATGCCATCTAAGTGCAGTAATAAAGGCAAATAATTTATTGCCACAAAACTGACAACTCACAATAGTAGTAGTCAAATGAGCACTTGTCAAACTGGTGCAATTCCTGCCCGGTCCCGCTGCAGGCAGTTCTCCAATGCACTGTCCTTGGCAGTGCTGGTGGTTTCCAGTATTTCCTGGTCAGTGTGGAACCACAGGCAGAGTGCTGTCAAATGCAGATACAGCAGCAGTAGGGGTGGCACATGTTTGGCACATGCATGCTCCTTCATTGGGCCAATGATGGAAATAAATTTGCCTTTACACCACGGTTACATCAAAGCTGATTTTGAAATTGTGCGACTGACAGTGAAGTTGCATGATTTCAAAATTGGGTGACCTGCCGATTTCATTGTGATTTGCAAGACATCTGACACAGATGTCTATGCAAATCCAACAAACGCAGTGCATGCACTACTTTAGAAATCGGTGCAGCTCCGACCAAGTCGGAACCGCACCGATATGACCGCTCTAACAGCGGACAATAGGGTGCGACTTGGCATATAATTGCAAGTTACCTGGCATGCAAATCGATGTGACAGGGGGCTTATTGCTGCACTTAGATGGTGCTGCGTCTCTCTTTTTGGTTCTCCTATCCTCTGAAACTCCCTACCCCAACTTATGCAACTATCTCTTATTCAGTCTGCCTTTAGGTGATCCCTGAAAAAACTCATTTCTTCAGAAAAGCCTATCCTACTTTACCTGAAAACTGCATTTTACTTTCTCAAACAACTCATACCCACATAATACCTTTTGTATCACTTGCCCTTTCTCTAAATTGTAAGCTCTCACAAGCAAGCCCTCTTAACCCTCTTGTTTTGAATTGTATTGTAACTGTACTGTTTCCCTTTATTTTGTAAAGTGCTGACCAAACTGTTGGCATCATTTAAATCCTGTATAATAAAAATAATATTAAACATCTGGTATACAGTATTTTCTTCTGACTGGATTTAGTTTTAAGTCTGCAGGGGTAAGAGAATAATAGTTGCAGCTTTAGGCAAATACCAGAAAGCAGAATTATCTTTAGCTTGGTAACTTCAGTACTGAGACCCTTTAGTTTCATGTTGTGGCCAGTAAAGGGTCATCACCCTACTGGATATTATTTATTTTCTGACATGGAGTATCTAAGATGCATATGTTAGAAAGCTTTGGATAAGTCATCCTAGCATTGCATATCCACAGCTATCAGTTTTGGATGGACTTACACATTAAATGTGCAGTATGATATTTACTTGTAAAATAACAATTGACTTGTTTCCTTTTTTATTGCAGTGTGGGAAAAGTGGAGAAAACTTTGACAAATTCTTCACCCGAGCTGCTCCAGTCCTGACACCTCCTGATCAACTTGTTTTAGCTGGCATTGACCAGAGTGAATTTGCTGGGTTCACCTTCATCAATCCAGAATTCGTTCACAGCAATCCACATAGCCCTGTGCCCATATCCCTGGTGTGACCTCTCCACGCATACCATCCTTTGGCCAGCATGGTATACTCCTTGATTATGGCTTTCTTGGCAATATATGCCCATCTTCTTTCCTCCTTCCCTCCCTGCATCTTGGAAAAGCACTCCGTGTTGTAATGTGCTGTGTGAGGGGCAAGGATGCAATAGTGAATCCATTCCTTCTGGGACCTCACACTGATCTGGCATTTCACTCTGTTCAGACCATGTGAAACGCTGATGAAGTTTTATTGTGTGTAATTTTCCTCTGGGTTATTCAGCATCTCGAGATATTGTGATACAGAATCAAGCTTTTGTTGTGTATTGAAGTCAGAATTCAGAGTCACATGCAGGAACCTGGAGAATCCATGCACCCATTGGTAACGTTGGACCCTGAACATGGATGTTGAGTCTACGTAATGATTGCCTAGGATTTTACTTTGTCAATGTGCATCATACTTGAATTAAAACTCAAACAGACATTAAGAATCTAATGTAATTTTTGCAAACCGCCCTCCACTCCCTGGAATGGACTACACACTGCCTGCACCCCCGCCCCAAATCGCATCTAGCACTGGCATGCATGGCCCTTTAATATACCTGTATGTGTACAATATATCTAGATGTTATCCTGTACAAGTAGACACAGGCATCCCCTTCCTCTTTGGGACATATGTCCCCCAGTTGAACATACCTGTATTATATGCCTTGATTATTTGCTTTTATGCATGGGCTGTACGAGAGCATACTATGTATACACACTCACTAGTTTGATCAATTTCTCTGAGTCTTTCTGGACTTGGTCTACAAACAGTGGATCAGGATGTCTAAGGCAGGATAACTGGTTAGGGCTTCCATGGTTGTATTTTGATATATAACTTCAGTGTTTTCTGAACATTTTATTGTAGTGTTTATAGTAGTTTGAGTTAGTTTGTATAAAAAAATAATTATTAGGCTGAATCCAGAACAAAATGGAAAGACTTTTCTGTTTTCTATAGTGTATAGCAACTGATTCACAACCAATTTTTATGTAGGTTTTGAGTCAAGGGAACCGATGGAAACAATAACATGGGGTGGATCTAAGCAGACCACATCAGAGCATCTGTAGAATTGTATGTGATATCATGTTCTTCCGCTACAAGGTAGCAGACATTAAGGAAATATGAAAGTAGTCATTAAAAGAAAACAATGGTGTTCATAATGTTGTAGTGAGCCAATACAAATAGCTTATCATTTTTTAATCATGTCTGATCAGCTTCTTGTTTATGCTTTTCCTTCAAAACATAAGAGAAAAAAGGTAATGTCACTAGAATGATTAACATACCGGTAGTTAACTAAAATAGGGGAGAAGAAAAAAAACTGGTTATTCAATGAGCTAATTTTCACTTTCAAAAGTTGCACTCTTAACCACAGGAGAATGAAAAGCAGGATCTTTTGAAGATCTCCAGTGAATAAGTTCATTGACACAAGGTACATTATAGATGATGCGGTATATGTTACAGCAAGAAAAGTCTAATGTTGGTCATTATTTATAACGTATAAAGAGACTGTCAGATGCTTTAAATTTTGAAATGCAGATGTCTGCTAGACACCACAAGACTACATAAAACAATTATCTGTGTGCCTCTTTCAAGCCAATTTTACTTTGATGCTGAGTCTTGACTTCAAATCCCTAACAACTGCCATTTTCCTGTCCATTTTTGTCTCCTTTTCAGATGGTAGGGTTTTGCCTTGAAGTCTGGAAAGTCTGGCCCCAGTAATAAATTTAAGCTAATTTCAGAGAGGCACACATAGGAAGGTTTTCTGAGTAGCCAGGAAGGTGTTGCCTGTTGTTAGGCAGGACTTATACTGTTAAAGCTTAAAACAGCTGATGGGCTCAGTTTAAAGAAGAATTCCACCCAAAACTTTTCAATAGTTTTCAGTAATAGGTAATAAGGGCACCAAGTATTTACAGCAAATGCAGCCTAGCTTTGATCACTCCCTGCTGTAAAGTTTCTTTATCAATCACTGCCCTTTGCTGTTCATTGTATCCTTTTCTCTACAGATTTATGTTGGTTGCACTGACTTCAGGGGCAAATTGGCAATCTACATTGACATTACCAGGCATGGTAGCAATAGAAAATAATATTTCATAGCAGTAATTATTATACTAGACCGTGTAGCCTTTTAGTAGATTTTTTTACAGGTGCATATAATTTCACATCCTAAGAGCTTTAATTTTGCTCCTACCAAAATGAAAACAGTAGATGTGGTTGGAGTTCTGATTTTGCATTTACTCATGCTAACACATGTGCTTTTTGCCAAAACAACTATTATTAGCTCCTATTGACTGCCATTGCTGAAAATAACAATCACTATGGCAGATAACAAGCATTATAGTTAGGTGAATTAACTCAACAGAAAGACTCTAAATTAGGTCTCAATAAAGAAATCTAGGCTTCACTTGCAGGCCTTCTGAACAAAATAGTGTAAGGAGCAAAGTGCATCAAGTGAGAGTCCATTATGTACTACTCAGGTAAAGTGAATTTTGCTTGGTTGCTCTGGGTTATATTACTTTGCATCCAGTGTTTTGTTTCTTTCATTGTTGTTAAATAACGCTACGCTTTTGTGAAGTTCGATTTGAAAGTAGAGCCAAGCAGGGAAGGTGTGTTGCAGTGAGGTCCCTGCTGGTTGCTTTCAGTGCTTTGAGTTATCTGGGTTATCTTCTAAATCAAAAGGCTACACTAGGAGAAGTAACTGGAGAAAAACTAGAAAATCTATAGAAAATCCACAGAAAAAAGATTTTTACAACGGAACTCCATTGCCAACTATAGCTTCTAAAAAAAGGTACGAGAAAAGAAAATTTAGGACTTAAACAGTGTCTACATAAACATAGCTATGAATACAGCTTTAAATGAATACATACATATTAAATCAACATTCTATTTTTGCAACATTCTATACCAACAAAATCCTTCTATATTGATTAAAAATAGCTAGTGCATGCTGTGCATAAAAACATTCAAAGTGGCATGACATCACAAGGGTAGAAGTGTCCAACAAGTGTCCAGGCTCCCCAGAACCTTGGACATCATACTGGACTTCTTTAGTCTTGCTCTCACACTTTTGTGGATTCAAATAGAACAAATTGACTTTGTCCTTAAAACATGTAAGGGTATGACAATGATCCATATTCCCTAGCAGCACATGACTTGAAGACTGAGCCATGTAGCCAATATCATCTAAATCAGGGATCCCCAACTCTTCAGGTCAATCTGAAACTTCATGATATAGAGTACTGGATTAACTTTTGTCTTTTTTCAGCCAGACTAACTAGGTAACAGTATATACACAATTTGAAGGCACTGTCAGTGAAAGTCTTCTCACAAAATGGGCACTACTGTGGAGCTCTATAAACACCTCAAATATGTATTGATGCCACTATTTATAGAACAGTTATTGATCCCTTAAAGTTTACTGACTTTTTGACTCTTGGGGCAATATTGACCACTTTGGGAATCCCTGATGTATCCTATTAAGAACATGTCCTTTTTGGACACCTTGAATGATCCACTACACGTTGGGCTGAATTTGGGAAATATATATAAAGTCCCTATATCATCTTTTTTTTTATATGGATAGGCTTTAGAAGACAATATCCTCAGAAGTTTTCAGAGTAACATATTTATAACACAGTAATATGTTTGTATATAAAAAAACTCCGGAGCTGATCATTAAGACTCAGGGGGGAATGATTTACTGACGCAAATAAATTAGCAGCCCCTTTGCTTGCCTCTATCTGGTCCTTGAGGCACTATTTCTCCCACTGATACAAGACACTCTTCCTCGCACTGACACCAATGATGGGGCACTTTTCCTCCCACTGACACCAATGATGGGGCACTATTTACCCCACTGACACCAATGACTATTCATCTCACCAATACCAATTGGTCATTGATTACTTCCACTGACACTGGGGCATTTTCTACTCCCGTTGGCAACAATCTGCCCTGCCTAAAGTCTGAGGAACAGTAAATTGGCCCATTGTTTCGAAAGACTGGAGACCTCCAGTCTAGTACATAGCATACATTTGGATGCTGAATCATACATCTCATAGTAAACCATACTTGTGCAAATGTAGCCTGTGCACACATAGTGCTGGCATATAGTAATCATAAGGGTATGTTTTGATTGTCTACACATGACTGATGCACTGGCATATGTGCATATGCTTGAGTACATCAGCTGTAGGATGTTAGCTCTTTGTGCTTGGAACAAGTGTGTATTCTGCAGCCTTATTAATTGTTCCATTGTTGTAAACTGCTCCCAATACTTAACCCTCCTTCTGAATGAACCTTATTAATTACCCCTAGCACCAAATGTTTAACCTATGCCTAAACATTTAATTTGACCCCAATACTTGCCCTCTCCTCTAACATACCTTTAATTTCCACTTAGCCCTCCCAAACCTTGATCCGTTATCTCTCCATAATCAAACCATATTTTCAAACACCTAACATCTGAACAAAACAGTTCCTAAATTGAGCTCTAAAATTACATTTTTGTCTGTATACTCAGTTTATCTCACCCCAGGCATCTCTGCACTGAATCTTGACAATTGGGCAATCAGCTCTGCACCAAAAGACATTGGCACCAACCGGACCATGAAGGTACAGCAAAAATTCCTGCACACAAACTAAGTCTCAACAACTTATTAATCTTCCAGCAGACTCTGTAATTTAGCTGTATGGTGGAAAATTTAATAAATTGTCATGACTCAAGCTGTGTGCAGGAATTTTTTCTCTACCTTTGGATGTCTTGTTTGTACATGCTATTCATTCAAACGTAAAGTGGCAGGAACTTGTCCAACAAAGATTAGTCCATGCTATCGGTTTATCTTTATATGCTGTGAATTTATGTGGATAACATATGGTATATCAGATGTGTGACATATGTAAACAGGCAGATTTCTAATGTATATATCCTAAATCACTGCAGTTATGTATTGCTAGGTGGATACAAGGAGGTTCTCC